CAGGGCTCGACACTAACGGTAGCCCACTAGCCACAGACTAGTAGAAATTCAGTTTTGGCTAGTGGTTTTCGATTTCCACTAGCCAGTTTGGCTAGTAAACAAATTGAAATTGACCGAACTAGTTTTTCTCTTCTCAAGGGACACAAACTCAAACACTTTTCTTGGAAATTCATTGCAGGCGTATCATGCTACCGGGCACTTATGCAAATTTAGGTCCGATTACTTTTAGCCCTATGGCGCGTAAACGGGTATTATGTTGAAAGAAATATTTGACAAACAAAAAAGCATTTCCTTTTTGTTGCGAAATTACTTGAAGAAAACATCAACTTCCCGATAAAATCACGCGCAAAATCGTGCGGCACTGTATAGGGATAATATTCCATTTAGCGTGACAACACATGGGTGACTTGTCGTTGTATGCTTACTTACAAAACTTACCACTACAGAAATAATTATATGAGAGATATTTAATTGCTTTGACGTTTAAATCAGCTGTTTTTAGCTGTTGAATTTCGCCAACGACAGTTTGCTAGATCGTTCAGAAAGATGTTTTGGTTTTGAAACATTTCTTGGCGCCCGTAAGTGAAGAAATCTCAACAGTTTTTACAATGACGTCTCGGGGTCTTGAAATTCTTCCAAAGAAGTTTTGTTTCAATGCAAAAAAGAGTCCTGAAAGTCTTCACGGGAAAATCGCTGCATTTTTCTTTATAATTTGCTAGCCTGAGAGAATCGATGTGAGGAAAATCTAAGGCCATCGAACAAAATTAAAACTGGCGCAATTCATTGCGATAATAACTGTTTTACGTATGATGCACGATCCTCGCAGTAGAGAGCGCTATTTATGCAACAGCGAAAATCAGACCTGAAAAAAAATCAGGCCTGTACGGGATTCGAACCACTGACCTCTGCGATACTAGTGCAGCGCTCTACCAATTGAGCTAACAAGCCAACTGGGAGCAGGCCGTTAAGTTGATTCGTAATAAACCCGTGATGATAAATCAGATACGTATGATGCGAGGATCGTGCATCATACGTATCTATAACCGCAGTTCAAATTATATGAACTTCATTTATTCATCGTATCAAATAACTGTTTTGCTGTGTTTGATTAAACCAGTCAAGCGTGACAGAAGGTATGCGGACCATATGTCAAGCAGTCTCATGCAAATTCGCTCTGTTTTGTTTTTTCTCAAAATTCGATAATGGATATTAGAGGATGTTTTACCGGCCGTAAAAAAGAAAAAGGCAAAGACGATAGTTCTAAAAAGAAGAGACCTGCTAAAGAAGGTGCAAGTCTTACACCTCCACCGCCAAGTTTGCATTGTGGTTTTAAGTCTTACTAGCAATTCTGCTGTTATTGGACCTAGCCAACATATCAAAGCTTGGCTTGTAAAAAAAAAAAAAAATCGGGCTACTAACATCTAAGTTGTCACTAGCCACCAGGCTAGTAAGTTGGAGAGTTAGTGTCGAGCCCTGCCTTCGTAAGATTCGTGCCGAAGCTACAGCTTGTTTTTGCATTTTCTCGACAAAGGGATGTTTGGTCTTGCGACCAAATGTCTATTCATTAACTGTTTTAAAAAAGCCATCTTCAAAGGTCATTGTAAACGTTATTTAGAAGTGTTCTAAATTTGACGAGCAAAAGAAAGTCCATTTAAGGCGGCAGCAGAACCATAGTTTTAGGCAGAGCGCCATGCCGGGAGGATGCATGTTTCCTTTAATTCAAATTGCAGCTAAGTTTGTTCGGTTCTTATTTGTTTCCGTCAATTTTCGTCGCGAAAGTTCGGACCAACCACGTTTTTAACGAGGTTGACTTCGGATTTATTCGAAGGCAGTATACACACTTACCTCGTATCCTCGGAGCGAAGGCCCGATGACGATGATAGGCCGAGTAGCAGGGACGACTTCATAAGGCGGGAAAGAGATCTCGCTCGATGAACTCATCGACCCCTAAAGAACAAACATGAAAAACTTAAGAAATATTTTTAAAGTGACTTTCGTTTACGCGAGGAGTGTTTGAGAAAGGTATACCGCCATCAAACACATAACACCATTTCATAAGGTGCTTCAACAACGACACAAATTAACGCGTCTGCAACTTAATTTTTATACTTAATTTTCTTTTCTTCCTTTAATCTCCTTAAGCCCACCGTGAATCTTTCATGATGCCTTTATTTCGTGATACTTGCCTCATAAAAAGCATCCAAACCCTTATTTCCGATTTTTATTGAAGACCTTTTCCTCGATGCCATTTCACATCACTCCCTCTGATCAACGACTGGAAGTTTTATGCCACCCAAGCAAATTCATTTTCTTGTTTATTCATTTTCATCAGATACGATGGTTAATCGTCGCTAATAAATCAAAGCGCAAAAAATAATCAATTATAACTTTCCGTCGAACTCTACTCTTTTCGTAGTGTACCAGAGGTGACTGAAAGTCAAGTAAAAAAACTTTGAAAGTATCGATTTTTTTACGTTTAATTTTGTTATTTATTTTCTTCAATTACTGTCCATGAAAAGGTGACAAGTGAAGGATGCCTTTCCCACGCTCTCAACATGTCTGCGTTGATGTCTGTAAGTGAAGATAAAGTTTCCTAATTGAAGAAAAATCTAGCTTAACTTATGATTATTCATGCAGATATTTGTTTGAAAAAAAATTTATTTGAAAACGTACATTTGAAAAAAATTTTTTCCTTTCCTTATTTTGATATCCTTCAAAATCAGTAGTTCTCTCTTCAATCGGATCGTTGGTCCGAGTTGGGAAAAACCCTCTAATAAAAGAAATGCTTAATATGATATCTTGAAAGGTCAAAATATTATTTTGATTCTTTCTTCGAGCGAGACAAGTTCAAGTGTCAGGAAACTTGGTTTGTTCTTAACAATTAAAACATTCGATTTCCTTGCTTGCGTTTTCAATGTTTAGGCTTTCTATGTTTGCGTCATTAACGAAAGTCAGACTTTAACAACAAGTAAAGATCGAAATTACCCTGAAAGATATGAAAACCAAGATTGATTTACGTGCCGTCGATGGTGGACCAGTGAGCTTGTTAAATTAAAAAGAAGGAGAAGCTTTTGCGACCACGGAACCCGCTTCAAAATTACCACAGCTATGAATAAATTAGAAAGACTAATACAAGTTATGGTCTAATCTCTAAAGAACAAAGATGGAAGCAAATCATAATAATAATAGCACATCTGGAAAGGTTACAATTAAGACACAAAAGACATAAAAGTTTCATAACCGACAAATTACCCCATGTCGGCGCACACTGATTCATGAAGAGCTCTCCATGTCGAACAATCAGTGTCAACAACTAAACCTAGGATGTATACGAGGTCAAGCTGGGTACGAAGTATTTTTCACGTGGAACAGTGAAGCTAAAAAGCTGTTTCGTGCCGTTTTTTATTAATGAAAAATGAAGTTTCGATTTTCATGTGTTGTTATTCCAAATGCAAGAGAGCTGATCGAATAAAATAGGGCTAGGCTAGTTTACATACCCTCGCTTTCTTGACGCTGGACTGCGCTTTCGTTAATGATGGTTGGGAGAAGCTTTCTCCCAGATGTTGAAGAGTTACGCTGCTGTCGCTTCCGTCGTTTTCAAGCAAAGTGAACACGCGGTTGGTCGAGAAACTAAACGTTCCCTTTTTCAACGGGAGACAGGAAGCACGCGTCATGACGAAAAGGACAAGCTTCGTGCCCAATGCTTAATTCATGCATGTTTTCTGTTTTTGTCGAGAAAGCATGAACACTGAAAGAACCGTTTAGCTCCAGTAAGTACACTACACATTTAATTGAGTTAATGCCGTGAAGAAGTCAGAAGCAATTTAAAGCGACTTGTGGCCAATAGAAATTTCTGTCAGCAACTAATAATTTCTCAGAGGAAGGTGTGAAGGCATAATTAGTAAAATGTATAAAGTTCAATACGCTTCATTGGATCAGAAGAAACTAATTCCAAACGAAGACGATGAAACGAAATTTGCCGCCCACTTAGAATGAAAAGCATGAAACATCACTTGCAAATCTAAAGCTCTTAGCCGTATTTTGTCTTTGGCGAGGCGATACTCTGGAATTTCAACTCCGGTTTTTTTGGCAAGAAGACCCCACTCCCTCGTGTCGCGCGCTTTCGTTGCTTCTAGACTGAACGTGTTTTTATATTTTGATCAGTTTTGTAAATTATTAAACATCTTGGCCTAAAATTCTCTCGACCTTATTGGAAAATTTTGGTTAATTATGATTATCTGTGATTCAAAACATATTCCAAAACAACAAGTTTCATCTTTTTTTTTTTTTCGGCTGGGATTGATGAAAAATACGCAGTTGTTATTAGTTTTTATCATCACGCGTTTTATCGCCGGAAGAAAGAGTCCTTGTCCTGAAGTTTTCGTGAACGACTTGTAGTAATTGGTTCTCCTTTTCGAACGGTAATCCATGACACCACTCTGAAGCTTAAGGTGTAAACTATTACATGATACTTCAATTTTTTCGTGATTTTCACATCGTTTCTCGCGTCAAGTTTATTTTCCTTTAGAACTGATGTTTTTCAATTAGACGATTGGGACTCTAGTTTTAAACCTGACGGCAAAATGATAACAATAGACTTAAAAAACTTATTCAACTTATTCACTTTCGCAAACTTTGGAAGTCTGTTTGTGATACGACCTCGATAAAACAACTTAGAAGGTAAAATTTGAATGATTTTTTTTTTGTTTTCGTTGAGAATTCCATGGAAAAAACTAGAAAACAACAGCTTCCTTTGAAATATTGATATACTTGCTTCCTTCAAATTCCTATTGGCTTAGAACAAATTATTATAAATAGATTTAGTTTCCTTTTCTATGAACTTGAACTTGAGTGAGACAGATCGTTTCATAAAAAAAAAAACAAAACAAAGCAAAAAAAAATTACATCTGGTAAGAGTTGCGCCATATGTCGACACATTTTATCCTTAGCAATAAATAGAGCTTTCCGTTTGTTGTGCTGGCCTGATACATATTTACATAACATTCCTTCGTTTTTTTTTCTCGCTCTCGAGGTAGTAAAGTATTATTAATGCATCGCGCAAGCGAGTAATTCCCCCTTCAAAGAAGGCGGCTTTGAAGAAAGAACACCTTTTTTTTACTGAGGCTTTTAAAGCGAAATTCTAAAAATACTTGCAAATAAAATATTCTTTAAGATACTGTTTCTCAACACGATAAAGGTAATTACTCAATTAATGTGGTCACTGTAAAAATTAATGAGTTTCAGACATCAAAGATGTTCATAGCTTCCACTTCAATTTCTCTTAATAGTTGAAGCAGAAATTTTTCCCTAACGTACGCGAAGCATTTTAAGGAGCATAGAGGATTTGCAATTTGGCACTCAGTTGATGTGTTTGATTCAACTAATTAACCTGTTTCGATAGAATGTTTTTTTTCAAAAACCTTTATTAAATGTCTTATTAAGAGAGACATTATTTTTAAGAAGGGTTATGTGATAAACAACAACCCGACAGATTTATAGAAACTATGTTTTTGTCTCACAAATATTTTTGTGGAATAATTTTTTTCAAGAGAAAAAAACTGACGAAACAACATATTTATTGTATTCTACGGTGAATTGGCTATAGAGATTACAGCATAATGACATCGAATCACAAGATAAAGAGTTGGAATGCGTAATCTGGGTTTCAATTTTCCAAAAAAAAAGTCTGATTTGATAATATAGCAGTTTCGCTGGTAGAATCGTGAAGCTCGTTATCATTAAAATCTGTCAGAAAACAACTTTCAGCGAAGATATTTAGTTTCTTTAATTAATTGTATCGATAATTTCCTGTTATCAGTAATAACTGTCGAAACTTTTAGTTCGCAGTTTGCAGTTTAGTCAGTTGAGGGAGTTGTGTTGTTTTGTTAGAAGTCTGCAGGGGCAAAATTCGCCCACAATTCGTTTGAATAGGACTGTTATTTTTCTTCTAACATACCTCTTGTTTTGCTTTTAAATATTTCCCGATTTAAAAGTACAGTTCCAGAATTTCTAGTAAACACGATTCTGTCACTGCCTTTGCCATTGTGGCTACGCGTGTTTTTCTGAAACTGGGCTAATGGTAAAACTTGCCCGCGTAGCATTTTTAGAGTCGTTTATTGTCGCTGTTTTGTTGAATAATTAAGTTTAAGTATCTCAAATAGCTACTATTAATCACTTCTTAGAGAAAAAGCCGAGAAAAGTTTAATAATACCTTTGAGTAATTTCTCGACCGAAACGCTGCCTGTGTCGTGAAGGTGGCGTTTCCAATGAATTTATGAATTCCAGCGACTACATCTAAGTCCATATTGAACTTCGTTGGTGTAGGAATAAAACGAAAGCTGAGAATCGATAACAGCATGGGCCGAGGCCCCTCAAACCACACTCATTAACCAACACAAATAAAACTGAAATAGTCTCCTTTCATTCGCTGTATGCCGGTTGACGTCTGTAATGGTTCTGAGAAATACTTCGCCGGGTCTCTTCGTGTTCCATCGGACACAAATGTTTGTTTTGTTCATAGCATAAATTACGATTATACGTGGTCAAGGATAAAAACAATTAAAGTAAACCAGCTACTCAGTAAACAGATTGTTTTTATCCCCTCGTTGTTAGAGGAAGGTGATTCTAATTACTAAAAAAGGACTGAATGAACGAGTAATCTCCTAATCTTCTTAAAGACCGATTATAACTTGCATTTTATATTTACCATCGGCTGGTATGCTTAATAATATAATATCAATTTTGGTTTATCTGGATTCAAACTTTTCACCATTTAATCGTCAACGTTCAAGAAGAAAACATTATGACACAACATTCGTGTAATACTAAACCATTAAAAAGTAGTGCGCCTATTCCAATGGATAACAACCACCTGAGTAATAAGTGTTACAATGCTATCTGACACTCCATAAAAACGCAATATTTTGTTCTCGTTTCTTGCATGATAGCTCATCAAAATTACCCCTTATTAACCAAGGGCTCCATTTTTATGCCAGCTAAAGGCGTTTCTAGTCTTTTGCCTCAGAAACGTTATACCCCAGGTGATAACCATTGCATTTTGTTGTCATTTTCAAGCTTCATGACAGTCCCCTAGCAATGAATATATTAACTGAACTCTTCAAATAGCCGGCATACTTAAACAAAATGTGGTAAGTTTATCACACATTCATGCTCTGTAAACTGTTTCTCTTCCAGTTTCGTCGATTTGATCCCCTCGGGAGCAAATGAGCATCGATTTTAACGTAACATTTCTGGATGATTTTGAAATTAAAAACAAACGCTTCTTCCCAGTTAATTTGATTGGTCAATGTGTCGCTTATTTTCTACAAGTTGTTGATAGCATAAGAGAAAAGAAAAGTCAAAATGTGAAAAAGAACTACGAGGAAATGGAAAGAAATAGGACAAATAAATAAGTCTTAACATGGACTAAGGTTATATCACCCGTACACCGCTATCAACCAGATGCAGTGTTGCAAGAACAGTGAAAGGTACAAAGCAAAATGAGAAAAAGTTAAGTAGTTGAGTTCTTTTGTTAATGAGCCATAATTATAAAGCTGCACAATTTTCCATTGTTTACATTATCTACTTTTGAATTGTGACTACGCTGCTGAGCAAGATTTCGTGGGAGATGTTGACTTCTTGCGCAAGCGGAACAGTTGTGATTATTTCTAAGAGTAATCTTGCAAACAGAGGCTTCAGTCACTTTTTCCACAAGCAACTGCCAATATGCGGTTGTGCCGTAAGGCGAAACCAAAAAACGAGAGCTAGCTTGCAGGTAGACTGCTGGAAACCGGTTTTTATTTAAATCTCTGAATACATCATTCCTGCATGGTTGAAACTGCATAAAATACAAAACTGTGCATGCATTGTTTGATAATCCATGTAAAACTGTTTAGCTGTAGAATCCGTACATCGTGACCGAAATTGATGTAGGGGACTTTCAAATGTATACCTGTTAAGTTTTACTTCGAAATTGTTGTTAGTAATAACTGCATGGACAAAACTTAGTTTTCATTCTATTTCGGCAATCAAAGAAATTCAGCAAGATGTGAAAATAATTAGTTTGCGCTTAGATAACTTTTTTCCTGAAGAACTATGATATACCAGGGGTTCGATAAAAGTTAGTTACTAGTGTTTACTCCCGCCTGTAAAACCTCTCACTGCTGCCGGTCTATTTAACTTGTGAACAGGCTTTTGGGTTTGGATTGTGCCTAACGGCACGGCCGCCGATTACCCATCGGCAGCCGCTTATGGAAAGAATTTTTGAAACCCCTGTTTACAAGATTACTCCTAAAATTTATCATCAAATGAAATGCCGAAAAGAACGAAATGTAAAATAACTTAGCACAGGCACAAATATGCCAAAAGTCAACGCGTTTCGACTCCCCTATAGCGTTCAAATCACTTATTTAAGACAAAATAAAATCTATATATCATTTGTTTTCTAGATTAATAATCTAAGATTCAAAATGGTAAGATTTATCAAAGTTAAAACAGCAACCTCTTTGTTTTTTTTGCAAAATTACACATTAACAAAAACCTGAAATCAGTACAATGTTTACCTCTTAGCTGGACTCGAAGTAATTTTCCTAGCATTCATAGAACTGAAATAACGGCTTTGATCTATTTTCATTTGCGGTTTATGAACTTGAATTAAATGTAGTGTGCGTCTGCAATTGTCTAATTGAAGGACAATGTGCTGCCTTGGGCTCGCTGAATTTAATTCAGAAGAAATGTGGTTATATCAGACTAATGCATCTAACTAAAAATAGCTAAAGAAAGGAAACGGAAACACCTCCCACGAAATTTCTTCAGATAAACGCCATTTGAGAGGAATATAAAGCCCATCTTCGGACCTATTCTTAAAAAATGGTTCCTTTTATGCGAATGAAGGGTAAAATTCTGTTCTTTAAAGCATGTTGCGTACGAACCGTGTGCGTGTAAGAGTGTTAATTTCGACGTGCCATTACAAAGTCAGAGATCCCTTCTTAAGCCAGTGGGCGCCAATAGCTTTGTTTTAGGGACGTGCGACAACAAAATCCCAGTAAGTTATGGTTAGCGAAA